AAAAGAAACTAAACTTAGAATAAATTTTGTTCTATCTGTTATTCGATGGTCGAATGTATTGCCTATATAAAAGAAAAAAACAGATAAAATGTGCGCATGGAAAGGAGAAAAGAGAGAAGAAAAAAAGCGACAGAACAGAAAAACAGCCTAAATTCACTATAAGAAATCGAAAATTTGTTGGTACCCTGAGACCGAATCTCAGGAATCTTATCAGCAGCAACGGATACCATATTCGTCCTGCATGTCCGATGCAACTGAATATCTCGGTTGAGAAAGAAAATGGCACAAAAACGTATGAACTGCAGGCTAATCAGATATATAAGCACATATGCAAAGTTTCATCACAGTTTATGGAGAGAGCTTCGTACAGAAAAAAAATTTTCCGAAAAACATGACTTTTTCGTGAAACGTTCCAATAAGATATCAATGATCTTTTTCTAAAAGTATCATCCAAACTTTCTTTTACATTTCAAAGCATATTATATTAAAATGATTTAGTTTAGCAATCTTATACAGCAATAATTTTCACTCAATCTTACAATATTTTATCTTCGACTTTTTGTCTATAAAACTCCTGTTAGAACATGAAGTAAATCTGTGCGAGCGTTATTGTGCACCAAACAATGTAAGAAAAAATGGGCTACAATTCCACTGAGTCCACAAGCACAGTTGGGAGACGGTACAAGTGAGCGTGCATACAGATCAGCATTCAACTGACTAAAACTCAGCCAACATCTCGCAAAGTCAATGTCAATTATGCGCTCAATAGGTATTATAGATAGCTTAAGTTTAAAAATAACCATTATTAGACAATAGTTAGGACATCAGTTTAGCTTTTTTTCGGGTTCGGGATAGGACACAAATCAGGTATTAGTTCATTCCAAAACTGCAATGCACTCCTTATAAAAGACGTATTAAGGGCATGTATACCTTTTCGAAGAGCAGGAATTTTAGGACAGCTAATGCTGCTTGATACTGAATCCTAGAGAAATGCTCAATGTGTTTATCGTAAGTACCTCCATAAATTACAATAGCATAGTTAAACATAGTAAATACAAAAGAATGGTAAACCGTGTCGAGAGCCTGACGAGAAATCCACCTACTCAAGAATTTCATAGAGCCTATAAGAGGAGCACATTTAGCGACAATAGAATCAATATGCGTTGCCCATTTAAGATGAGGTGTTAGCATCAAACCCAAGTGAACATGCTTCTCAACATAAGTTAGTTGAGTTCCATTAATGAATAATGGCGGAGGTACTGTACAATTACACCATGCAAAACCATTGACAACAAAATTGACCAATAATCTAGCTCATAACATTTCTCTTAAATAAACATCGTCTTCGTTTAGTTAGTTTATTCATATTAATTAATTATGTTCTTTAAAACTTTAGATTAAAAAACGCTCTGATTACAGAGCATCGTCAGTTTGATTTTCTGTCCCATTATGTAATACGTACGCAAGCGTCCGTGCGTAAGATTCCGATGCGGAACATTGCTCGCGCGTAAGGTACCAGTGCGCATGATTCTACGCTCAAGTTTCCTCGTTCGTATGAGTCCGTGCGCAAGAATCCATGCGCAAGAATCCGTGCGCATCGTTCCTAAACTCGAATATGACATTGATCTGAGAGGGGGTGGATTTTGACTTTTATCAACCCCCGTCCTTTACCGTTTGTGATGATTTTGTTTTTTATTATGACTTGACGAAATGTTTCTTTGTAAACAACTGCTTCATGTTATTTGATCTTTTTTCAGATTTATTTCAATGAATAGACGCTCGTTAAGCGACCAGTCACTTACTGCATCACATGATAAAATCAAAGACAACACAATGAAATCACCATGTGTGATACAATCACGAAATTCTGATCGTTTGAAAATAGTTTGTCTTATATTTTCAATGGGAAATATAATAAATGGTTTGTGGATGTTGACTGAACCGTCACACTGGTATTATAATCTACCAGAGAGCATCCATTAAGAATATCACAGTAAAAGTTTTGTCTCCCTCATGAGGGTCTTAGGTTTCACACCTGAATCAGACTCTAACTTCTGAGAATGTGATCTCAGAGACCCTGACTGTTGCGATAATTCCACAGTTTGAAACGGAAATATTAGGCTATAAATTTGCTACCTCTCGGATCTCATGGCGTTACGGCTTTTTTTTCGCAAAAGTCACCATGCACCATTCTATACCACTTCAAACCGTTTAGAACTTTGCGCGAATACTCTCCTAGGTGTTATACATTGATGCAAATAGCAAGAATTAGCAACACTGTTTCATTCTCGAGATATGGATTTTTGAGGACATCCAGGTTTTCATGTATTTTTCGCTTTTATCACCGTTTTACAACTTTTTTCATAAAACCACACACGTATTCAAAATCACAGTGTTATACATACATTGTTCAGTTCTATACCCATCTTTCGTAGCATTTTATATGAGTATCACAGTCTAAAATGAATAGGCTAAAAATATGCACTTTTTTTTTATATAAGCATAGATCCATGCATTTTCTCATTTTCTCACTTCGTCGACTAATCAAAAGTGAATTTAAAATAAATAGTTCATAAAAAACTCGTCGTTAATTCTAAAAGTTTCCGAATTCTTGTTGTATACTCTTTGCAAACTGGTACACACAGTGGGCAGTTTTGGGTAATTGTAAAACAAGATGATAACCACAGATATTCACTTCTACAGACATGGGAGCGACATAGAAGTGGATGTCTGTGTAGTTATTTTTGGTTGTCTGCGAGTGACTCTATACTGTCTGTGTAGCTGTAAGTGGCTATCTGTGGATGTCTGTGGGTCTCTTCATGTTTCACCACTATCCGGCAGTTTTCCATAGATCAGACGGACATGTGGTATTTTTAATCAGAAGGCGATTATTTTTGCTCAGTACTACTTTATTACGTTTGGAAGGTCCTTACAAATTGAAAAAACCCCAATTCGGAAAAAAACTTTTAGATGAGAAATGCCTCAGGGAGTCCTGCCCCCATATTTCTGTCGAAGACGTTTTATTCAGAAAATGAACAAATAATCTGTGTTTCGATGCAGGTTTGACACTAATTCCGAATTCCACATTATTTTACTAATTCAAGAGCTTCTTAACCGCAAAAAATGAAAAATACCTCAAAAACTGACGTTTCTTTAGAAAATCTGTATTCAATTTCAAAAGAAAAACCGCATCCACGATAGATACAGCGGATGTCCACGAATATTTCAGGAAATTTTCAAGCATTTTGGAGACTGGGAAAGTGTTGGAAACTCATTACACTTTAACTAGCTTTTCGGAAACACCGTCACTTCGGATAATAATTTTTTTTCTGTAACTAAACAGACTAGGTAAAATACTTTTACCAATAGATGACTGAAAGCGTCTGGATTTAGAATACATACTTTTTATACTTTCGAATTGACTAAAACCGAGTAAAAAATGTTTTTTCTCAGCTAAATACAGACTAGTTTTAACTACACCATTTTTTCTCGAAGAATTCGCAACTTGCAACAAAATATTTTACACCATTAGACAGCCCGTAAATCAAAGTATATTTGGCACGATTTGAATTTTGAAAAACCACACTTTCGATTTTTTACCAAATGTCTGCATGGTTGCCTACTGTGGCAGTATCAAACAAAAAATGGTACGGTTACGAAGTTTGTTTATGCTGAAATCTTGTCCTCTTGGAAATGCCTGCTACGTCCTTAAGAAACGGGCTCTCTGGTGTTCCCGAATCTGGTCCACTAAATGTCCATTTTGTCCGTGATGTTGGCTGCATCTTTTTTATTTCCGGTGTTGGTTTATTAATTGCTGCATTTTCAATCGAATATCGCCTTCCATTATTTACAATAAATACGAGTTTTTATATGATGCATATGTTCGTACATATTCACGAAGTTATTAGTGGACGATTACGTCCTGGTATATTTTGGACAGATTTACCAGGTATTTACCTGCCAGCTGCTATTACGATGACATTGAATGTATTCATGATAAAAAAGAAATCAAAACAAATCGATGAACACCAATTCTTTTCGTAAAGAAATGTATGTTTCTGCTGAAAGAGAAAAAGACAGAGAATTTTCTGGGTGCTTGCTTTAGTGCTTTTTCTGTCAGCAGTGGCCAGATGTCGTTTGGATCGCATGTTAAACGAATTAAACGGAATTGTAGGCTTTACCATACCTTTAAAATCCCCAGTTCTAAGTAGGAATACCAAAAAGAAAAGTTAAATGGCCCAATTCTGATTGATTATCCAACTAAGGAAGCGTGAGAATTTTACTCGAGGCCAGTTTTTTTCCCATGGATATAAACCATAGGATTGATCACTGAAATCGAACAAGTCTCATACAAAATTCTAGAAAGGACAGGGTGCAATAAGAACGAGGATTGGCCCCGTTTCAGATCTTCTAGAAAGGTATCTTGAATGAAAGAACAGTTTTATGGAGTACTACACCCTTGGTTCCCCTTTGGATCTCATATCTGTCAGAAAATCGATCAGCTTTGAACAATAGCTTCGGGAGCCCATTCCCAGGCCTTTTTCGTAATTTTCTCAGAATACAACAAGTTTGAAGGAAAGTCTTATATACCATTCGATGCAGCTTTAAATGGCGAACAAAAGTATATATTGCTCAATTGTTATGTACACTGCGAACATCCACGTTTTTGCAATATTACTGTTAAAAATGGCCTTTTCAGCATAGTCCACGATAGTATTTGTTCTTTCACCATGAGAGAACCTAGGTTGCGGTTTGTATTATATATCAAAAGAATGCTCTTTCGAAACTCTACAAACTGGCTGGTGGTTCATTTCTAGTTGAAAGAGCAAACACTCACTTTTTGGGATTTTACTACTAAAGGGCGATGTTTTCAAGCATACTGATGGATAATGTTTCTGTGTGTTTATCGTAAAAGAGCATAGGTTGCGGTCTGCATTATATATCAAAAGAAAGCACTTTCAATACTTCACAAAATGGCTGGTAATTTAATTGTAGCTGAAAGTGCGAACACTCATTTTTTCGGATATTACTACTGCAGAGTGATGTTTTCGGCATCAACGGATAGGCTCGATCCATATAAACCTACCACCATTTACTCGACCGTTGACGTCAGTGGCGAAACCTGCATCGAATTATAGAGCTCAGCAAGCTGAAGTGAACGGTAAGAACCGCAAGTCTCTAGCATCGTTAGAAAAAAAGTTATAGGCATTTTACTCTCGCACCGGAAAAATGCGTTTTCTGGTGGATTTGGCCTAACCTGTAGAACGTCTGCTGACCATATTCCTTAACGTAGAACCTTGAACTTGGTACCGAATGAAACAGCGCATCGAGTTCTATATATTTCGATGGAGAAAACTTATGCTAGACGGGGTCCTGATAAAGAGATTTCTGAAAAACTCGGTTTTTCAGAAAATCTAGTGACCCTAAAATATCTTTTAATTTTTCAATCAATGTGAGAGATAAAGTAGAGACTTCTTTCCCGTATATACTCTAAAATAAGATCTATCAGATGATTACATCAACATTTTTTTTCTCTTAACGGCTCCTCGCGGCAGGGGATCCTGTCTCGTGGTAGTTTTTGCTTAAAAATCGCTACGTAAATTTAACAATGACTTTTTTTTTCTGTACTAGCAATAGCCATGAAGAGGAGTTTCCTGACCACTAATATCATATGACAACCACGTTTGTTGAAAACAAGTTAAGAATGGTTTAGAAAGAGAAATAACACAATACCGGAAGGTTCTATTGGAAACATGAATTTAAGTACAAAAATCACGCGAAATCGCATCTTAGAATTTAAAACAAAATCTTAAGAATTGGACAACACATGAAGTGGAAATCCCATGGTTTGGTTCAGAACATGGTGAAAATTTTCTGCATTTCAGTAAAATTCTTTTTGCTGAGTACCAAAACTGACTAAATAGACAATTTTTGAACTAAAACTTTTACAGAAAGCTGCTATGGGATTAAGTTTGAATGGTGAGTATGTAATCCAATGTTTTAAAAAATAACTTTGTCATCGTACTATTCAACAAAATGGTCAATAGATTGATTAAAATCAGGCTAATCTATCCCCCTGCTTTAACGTATCTCCGATCATTAAATGTGATCCGGACACCTCATAATTCTATTATTTTGTCCCCAGTTTCGCTAAATGCATGAAATGCACAATCGTACCACATAATTCTACTAGTAAAACATTTCTGACAAGACTTCTACAGTTGCTCGTGCTTGAAAATTCCATCTGAAATCACTAAATCTTTCAGAAGTTCTTCAACTGGTCAGATTTTCTACCTTCTGGTAATCCTTGTGACTTTCGGTTACTGCAGCATAATAATAATAATTTAATATTCAAAAGACGGAAAAGGTCTTGATGCAGACTACTTTTGGATAGAAAAGCAGTTACCGCTGTCTCTCTAGTTTTCAGATTTTAAACTAGTGATCGGCGTTGATTGCCTGCTTATCTTATTGTTGACAAAAGATATCATGTTTCAACTCTTCTTTCTACATGAAAATCGTGGTCGTCTACAATTTCATCAACAAACGCCGCTCCAAGGTACACATTCAACTATCAAACCGCTTGAGAAAATAGAAAGCGGTATGTTGTCGTCAAAAGAAAGCCTCATTTACAGAGATCACTTTTGTCTTCATCATCAGCATGTTGGGGAGTATAATCGAAATGTGCCTCATATTCAAAAACATGTTCATCACCATCTGGCTGCAGTTCACCTGTAATTTTGATAGCATTGCCGTTGACTTCAGTCGAACTATTTCGATTTTCTCCATCCCTCAACATAATTTTTCCACCGCTTGATTCGTGATATTCATATTTCATTGCTCGTTTTTCCTTTGTATTTTTGATTGTAAGCTTGACAGCATATGATGATGTATACCTTTTTTGACTGAGTACGGTTACTTGACAACTGAAACCAACGTCGAATTCTGACCCACATTCTAAATCGTGTTTATCACCGACACCCATATCAGGCAAGTGCACTTGCCCAACCACTCGACCATTTTCTCGTACCGTACACGTCCCCTTGGGCAAAAATTTATCACCTTCAATACGATAGACTCGATCAAATTTTCCTTTGTGTGACCGTTCGTTAAAATGATGTCGCTTGAGTGCAATACGTTCCATTTTAACGTTGACCTCAACAAACGGTAACGAAAAGGTACTTTGTGAGGCGAGTACAAACGATTGATCAAGAGAATAATAATAGAGACCGGCGATTTCACCTTGTTCAACGATTTTCGGAGCAGAATCACAGCCAGGGCTGCAACAACAATATTTCTGATAAACAGGAGCCGGTGATTGAAAATAATTTTGCGGTCTATGTTGTAATGGTACATCGCCACCGAATAATTCTACATGCTTTATTTTATAATCGCGTTTTGTCGAATTAGTCATATCAGCCCAAGCAAGAAAAGATACTTGATCAACAGTGTCAGGTTCAACTTTTAAATTATAACGAGGTGACCATGTGATACCTAACAACAGGAAATGTTTAGAAATAGTTCACTGTTGACAGAAGATCTTCAGATGTTCTGAAAAAATACGTTTTGCGCACGTTATTTGATGCTTACCATGAGCCCGATATCTGTTCCTCTTAAAACAGTTGGGAAATGCTCGACGGTAGGCTTCGGGTGTAACAGTTCTTCATAAGAACTACAGGCAGACACTTCTGACTACGCCGGATAGCACAGTAAACTGCCAATTACAGTGTATACTCTGAAAGAGATTTTATCAGCTCCGATCACTTGACCTTCTTAGTCCAGTCAGAGAGATGAAGAAAATATGACTAACCTTGAATAAGATAACATAACATTGCAGCACCGGATTGTTTCAAGGCAAATGTTACTTCGGTACCCTCCTCTTCTGGTATTGTAACAAATTCCAACTCGTGTTGTGATGCACGAAAATAACGATTGGTTTTGACATCTTTCAAGAGGAGATCATTTGAACGTGTTACCACACATTCGATTGGGAGTTCACGAGGACGTTGAACAAACACCGTTTGGCCCTCGAGATTATTTGCTTTTGTTACCGCATTCTGTGAAACGACCGGAGGGCCTTCGACCGAGAGACTACCCGTTATAATTTGCTGATAAACTTCGAGCGGACAGTACATTTTGAAGTTCTAAACGACACTAAAGTCACCAGAGCTGGTAAGAAGAAAATGGGTTACCTGTGGTGCATCGAATTTTTCTCGTATTTCACTGAATGATGGATAAATTCTCAATTCAATGAAACTCGGATAAATTTTATTCTCGGCCTGGTTGTTAGCCGATGAATTATCCATTACTCCTAAAATTTATATAATCTAAAATGAGTGACTTACAGTTATAGTAGTAGCTAGGAGAGATTAGTTTAACTCACTATAACTCTATATTGATTGCATGTACGATACACAAGTATAAACGATATTTCTTTATATTTTGCCTTCGCTTGATTCCTTTCTCTTTTTTTCCTCTCGTTTTTCTTTGCTCAAGGAATTTTTATGGTTAATATTAATGATTAATATTTTCCTCAACGGTAAAGTCAAAGAAACGACTTTCTTTCTCTTCTTTAGCGCAATACTAAACACGCTCGTATTTATAGTCACATGTAGGTATTTGACAAAAAGAAAATCAAGAGTAGGTAATTAAATAAAAGGTAGGTAAAAATCTAGGTAATTATTCCTTGATGTACAATTTGGCAAAATACGCTTTTGTACATGTTAACAGTAGAGATAAGGAATACATATCTGGGCATAGCAGGACTTATTATAACGAAAAAGCGTGTGTATGCAAGAGTAGAAAACTCGACTTTTCACGCCTTCACTGCTCATCGAGAGGGAAGAATCATAATGTTTTATTTTTTCTACACTCATATCAGATAGGAACTCGCAATTGCCTCAATGTCAGAAAGAAAAGTGTCACGGCTATTCTATACGGACTGACAAATATTCCGATTTTCTTTGTCAATGGTTCATTCGAGAATGGTACTATTTAAGATATGAAATGATGATAAACTCTGTAATATACATATTCAAGTAAAAATTTAAATAATATCACATCACTAAACTAGTATAAGAAATAATTTATTACTAAAGTAAAGATAAAGCAGAGTGGTTAAACAATTTATATGATAATGTGTACGTTCAATTGTACTATTATTTTCTGCTGTATATTAACAATTGCGTTTACGCCGACTACATAAGCGAAAATGAGGAATAAAAAGTTTGATTTTTGATGGACAAAACGTCGATGATGTACGTTGCAATGGTACGTTTAAGAATATTATTGCTATTTCTGGTAAAAGAAAACGAATGAACTCGATCGTTTGTTTAATAGCTTTGAATAGAGAATAGCCAGAGAATTCCTGTTTTCACCATTCGAAAGAAGATATTTGGAAGCATTTTTTCACAAACAGTTTGAAACAAATGCTTTGAAGTAGGTTTTATATGTGATCTTCGAAAAACCAGATCATAGTCCAAAACGTTGAAAAATAAATCTACTGCTGTTTTCCACGAGAAGATAGCTTAGAGTATTCCCATCAAAACAGAAATCTTCCGACCTCTTCGTGTTCCATCGTACAAACATAGTATTCCTAGGAGTCTCAAAATCGATAATTCTTTAGTGTCTAATCCAGAAAATCAAAAACGACTTTCTAAAAAACCTTCCAAAAAATCGATAATACTTTCTGTTGGTTATTAAAACTTTTATTGATCTTCATGATGTAGTGTAGATAAAATGGAGTGTATGTCTTGATATTTTATTGGAAAAATTTTGAGTGTCTTATTTTTTGGTGGAAATAGACAACATTGGTATATTTTGTCTAGCATAGGTTTTCAGTAGGTTTATGAAGGTTTTTCGCAAAGCAAACATTGCCACAAGGTTCAACATGGTCGATAACTTATGTCTCCTTCGGGATTAGCACATCGAAAGAAATATTGATTTTGAGGCCTCTAAAGAATTTGATATCACGCCTGAACGATGGAATCCGAAGAGAGCGGAAGATTGCTGTTTTGAAGAGAGCACTCTAAGCTATCTTCTCATGGAAAAACAGCAACAGGTTTATGTTTCAACGTTTTGGACTATGATCTGGTTTTTCGAAGATCACGTATAAAACCTACTTCAAAGCATTTGTTTCAAATTTGTTGTGAAAAGATGCGTTCACGTATCTTCTTTCGAATGGCGAAAGCAGAAATTCTCTGGCTATTCTCTGTTCAAAGCTATTAAACAAATGATCGAGATCGTTCGTTTTCCTTTACCGGAAATAGTGTTAGTGACATGCATTATTCAGACGTTCTCAGTACTATAGAATTGACAATGCATTACAAATTATATTCGCAGTGTTACCTGATTCAAATAATTCGTTGATGAATTCTATATGTTATTCTGGTTGGTCAACATCTCATTGTTCGTCCCATTCGCCAAAACCGGGCAGACGTATGCATTAAATAATTTTCCAGCTGTTAGTTTACTATGTAAATCTGTAAAAGCAAAAGTAATACACATACTTATTTAATATTTTTATACGACTGGTTGTAGCGAGAAAATATATTTCAGTTTTCGATGAGACGTTTACACCGAAGTAGAACTTCACATTCGAAAGTATCGTGGTCATATGCTGTATCACGTAATGCTGCGCGTTGATGTTTCCCCGATGTTGTGACTTATCCATTGATACTCGATTAGATAAAAAACTTGTAATTCCAATATTTATCTTACCAGCGCTAATGGTGTTTCTCAATTACTGGATCAAATATTCCAACAGTGCTCACACGCTTTTCAGATCCAAAAATATTATGTCAATCAAAGCGGCTATATACGCTATGTCATAAGTTATACAGGTTGAAGAAGCACTTAAATCCCCTTCCTAAAATAGAAGACCATGGCCTTCTATGATGGTTTCGCACATCGCACAACTTTTTTTAGTGAAAAACTGCCCTCCCAGAATAGAAGGCCATTGCCTTCCCAGACAAACTATTTTTGGCAAAAAAACGCGTTGATGTGCGTTAATTTCTAACGCGTTTATCAGGATGCCTTTTGACTGTTTCAACGCGTTGAACACGTTTGTATTCGTTGAAAATCAATTAAAATGAAAAAAAAAGATAAAATTCAGCATCATATCAAATTCTGGTATATGTCTGGATGTATAGATATGTATACAAACGACTATAATAACCTAGTAGAGTGACGAAATAAAGAAAGAAAACGACTTAGACTTACATGACTTCAGTGTGATTCGAACGTGAGTACCTAGAATTAAGAAGCAAACACACATAATTTTACAACAAAAGAATTAATCATTGGAAAAATGAAGATCTTTCAGGAGTTTTTCCATTTCATTTATTTTCATATGTCTCGATTGCAACAAACTTGATGAAACTTCGAGGTTTTTCAGCATATAAAATTAAAAATCATTTTAATACATATTTATTTCTGATCATGTTTTCTGTTTAAAAGGAGATATGCGTTGTTACAGTCTTGTAAGAAAAGCAAGCAAAGTATGTTTAGTCACGTGCACATGCGGATTTAGGCTGGTGGCACCACTTCTCTGAAACTTTTATTCAGCTAGAAGTTTTTGCGTTGGAAAATTATTTTCTGCTAGAGATGCCTCCTCTCTCAACTTCTCCACTGGTCACGTGTTTGATTTCAGCTTTTTTTTCTGTAAACTCTGTGGATGTGGTGCTTGTATATTATTACCTTTAAAGATCTAATTTACTTTAAGGAATGGATAAAAAAAACAACATTAGTAATAAAGAACATCCAAAAAATTATTTATTAGAAAAATCTGTAGAATGGAAGTTAGGATTATATTCAGAAAGGTTTGTAAGAAACTTGGATTGAGTTGATCCGCTACATAGTTTTAGAGATGAATTTTATATACCAAAAAAAGTTGGAGCTTCTGAAATGTAAGCGATGAGCTCATATCTTTTTTTCTAACCATGTGTGTGATAAGTTACGATCGTGAAGAAGGAGCGAAGAATGAAGAAGATTGTGTTTATTTTCTTGGGCATTTATTAGGTTTACAGCCAAGACGACTGAAAAAATTTATTGATGAATAGTTGAATGATTCGTCCTAACTGTAATTTACATCTTTATTCGTCCATGTTTGCCTAGCTAACTATTAAGCAGAAAAATGTTTTGTTTTTTTTGTCCTTTTTTATCGTGGTACATACAGACGTGAATATGGTACAAGTCTATGGGAACATTGCGATCTGTATTGCTTACCGACAATGTCAAAACTTGTTGGTATTTGAAATTGAAAAAAAATTGAAAGGCATTTCTCTCTTTTTTCTACAAATAATAAAATCTATTCATTTTTTATAGGGTGTTGATCCAACTGAAATTAGTCTGATGAATACATTAACAACCAAGTTACATTTTCTAGTGGTATGACTGAATTTTAGTCTAAATAATATTAACAGACACGTTCGTTTGTATTTAAGATATCCTTTTTATCGTCCAACAAAGAAGCGACATAAATTTTTATTTAAAGAATTTGCATTTCCAAGTGATGAAGTACTAGTAAAAAATACATTTTAAATTTTGCTATAAATGTTAGTCTTACGGTTTTTTAATTTTCTACTTGCACAGTGTACAATTAATTCCCAAATTCGATTACACGGCCTTGATCAAAGCGTTTGAAAGTTAATTATTAAGCCGCGCAAGGTAAGAAATAGCTATCTCTTAAAAAAGGCCGAGTTCATTTTTTTATTATCTCTACGGCTTAGGATGAAACATATATTCGTACAGATGATATTGTTGAGTTATTAAAAGAGCACGGTAATACAATTTCATTAGTCCTATTGAGTGGTATACAGTACTATACAGGACAATTATTTGAAATTGAAACTATAACACATGTTGCACATAAACAAGTACGTCACAAGTAGTAGTATATCGCGAAGTGAACAAAAAAAAAAGATGTTTTAGGGTTGCGACATAGAATGGGATTTAGCACATTGCGTCGGTAACATACCATTAAAATTACACGAGTAGAATGTTGATTTTGCCGTTTGGTGCACTTACAAGATTAAAAACCTCTCCAGGGAAAACTTCATTCTTCTAACAATTTATTTTTTCTTTAGTATTTGAACTGTGGACAGGGTAGTATTGGAGGCTTATTCTTACATTCGAATAATTTTTCGAAAAAAATTCATCGTCAGAACTACTCAAATTACATGGATGGTGAGGCAATCGACATTCAACTCGATTTAATAGGATGCCAGGCAAGTTTGGTTCATAATCGAATATACGATGACAGGCTTTTTTAAACAACAGCAGCAAATCTTTAGATATCGATCGAGATATTGGTGCAAATGGATATCGAATTAGTAATCCATCGATTGTTTTATGTGCATGCATAGCAGCTAGTCTCGAAATAAAATGCTGAGCACCTCCGAAAAGGGATTAATTTAAATATCGCTTTTTTGTCTCGTAGATCTTTGACAAAGTTTCACTCGATCAACTACGATTAAAATCAAAACTATTAACACAATATCTTCAATATTTAATTGAAACTGAATTATCTTTAGAAGAATTTCAAATACTTACACCGACAGATCCTGATCAACGTGGTGCACAATTGTGAGTACGTCGGATGTTAAAAAATCTTTCAACTTAAAAACTTAATGATCTACTAGAACAGTGTAGTGTGGTGGTAAGTCATTCTTTTTGCTTCATATAATTTGACAGCGACAATTTATTCTTCTACTGTTTAGACTGATATTCGTCATGATTTAATTAGAATAGTACCTGTACCACTGTACAACAGTTTTTATGATATTTATCGATTTATTAACATTTTAAAACATTGTCTGTCAATAGTATTATATGATCAATAAAAGCTGACTTTTGTGTACTATGAAAGTCACAAAAAAAGTTTACAGAAAAAATATTATTTTCGGTAAACATAGCAACGTTTGTTGACATAATGCATAATGTTATAATTCTGGTTTTACTCCTTATTGTAAATAGCCCGTTCTTGAAGAATCTAACATATTAGGATCATATTTATCACATAAATTCAATACATCACGAAAATATTTGACAGCGCTTCATTTAATTATTCCTTACGAGAAACTGATTGCCATAATGTTTCTCGTTCATTGTGTGGTTTTGTGGAAAAACGTTGTGATAATAATTTGTGGAACGCGTTCTACTATGATATTTTATCTTGATTTTATTGGTACCATTTTTGAGCATCACCTTCTAATTTTAATTTTGCTATAAAATACAATTATTCATCATTGCAATTGATCATTTTACCAATTTGTGCTATATTTTTTAGTCACCCTATAACCTTTTCATTATCTTTTCCGCTAAATGTAGGTAATTGTTTTATTATGTTCTACTATTAACATAATAAAATTGTTTGTTGATAGTTGCTGCATAAAAGGATTTGTTGATAATGGTTGATCAGTTAAGATTTTTCTGATACTGCCATGAATAGATTGTCCGTAGCACTACAATTAACATTTGCTTAAATATGTACCAATGAGAAAAAATTGACTTTTATGTATATTGTACCATTGCAATGCTAAAAACATGCACACGTAAAACATGCACCTCATTCAAAAGTCTAATTAATAACGTCCAAGGTTCTTATTTTCATTATTCATCATACCTCTTAAACTTTATTTGTGCTTTGTCAGCGGATAAGAAAAACGAATATATGTTTGTCATCCTTTTTTATTTTTCATAAGAATAACAAAACACTCTACAAAAACTAATCGGATTACAAAGAAAACAGATATGACGGTGATGATATTTATTAAATACCTTTTTAAATAAAGAGAACCAAAAAATCCAGTTTAATTATCAAAAAGAACAAACCTTCTTTTTACGCTCATCTGTCGACATTGAGATGGTGAATAACAAGATCGACATAGAAGCAGGAGTAACATCGATACAACAATTATCATCACCGGTTTCAACCAGAGGTATTTCTACAAGTATGGTAGATTCTCTCTACCATACCAGTACAATATTCTACCTGGTACAGTATTTCTCATTATAAGCATGAATTTTTTGTCGACTTTTACTAGTGTTAGATATTGAATGAAAGATAGAAAAGAAGACTTTACATCTATAGATGTTGTAATAATATCTTTGTCACGATATTGTAAAAAATGTGCCCCAGTGCTGTTGACAATCGTGTGCTTTTAAAGCAGCACTTCTACATCTAGCTTTTATTTTAGCTGTTCGAAGCGAAAAAGAACGTGAATGTCAAGAACAAGTAACATGTGTTCCAATGATCCTGCTGCCCATTCTTGCCTCCGGGTTTTATTTGGGTGATGCATGGTATTTATATGGAACACATTCAAATTATGCTGGATTCATATCTACGATTTCAATCATCTTTTTTTATCTCCAATTCTCGACACATATCGAATCACATCGATGGCTCTTAGCATACCATATTCTCCTTTGGCTGATGATCGTTAGTGGTGACGTGAGCTATTTATTATATTATATCCAGAAACCAGATTTAGTTCAATGGATTTTGTTTGTCGGTTATATTATTCTTCATACTTTATTTACGTTTTCAATTTTCTACAAGAAACGCCATCAAAAACGACCGCAAGTACACGTTGAACAATCGACGTTATTTCATTTCATTAGTCGATTGGAAGTTATTTTTGCACTATTTATCCCAATTTTTGCTAACGAACATATCCAGTCTCGTACGACCAATAACATTGCATTTTTCCTTTTATTTGATTTCTTTTTTGAACATTATCGAGTATTTCGTAGTCGTGGCCGTTGGATAACTAGTATACTGTACTTATTCGTCATAGTTGTTACAATTTCAGCATTTTTTGAATGGTTGTATTATGCAAGAGAACGGCACTTATATGAAGCATTTAGTACTGTACCCGAATTTATTGCAGCGGGACTGTGTTGCTTCCTAATTTACAACTTGTTTGATTAATAGAATTTATGTGCACAATAAATTTAACGGGCTTTTTAACACTATCTCTGATTGAATCGATATTGAATATTTCATATTCTATGTGAGAACAAAATAAAGCAAAACTGCCGTCAGTTTTCATTGACCATTCTCTGGCGCATGACATAATGGTTCTAGATGATATCCGATGGTTTCTATTCGATGATAACAAATGACCCATTCTGCTCCCCCGCAGTGAAAGAACATCGCTCAAATTTAACCATACCATCGTCATATGGAGCACTCACACAAGCTGTTCCTGTGATCAAATCAACACCTGATATGTTGGATTGGCACCAGGGGGTACAGGGTTAAGTAAAATTTTGCTCACTCAAAATTCCAACAAAAATCAATGAGATATTTATCAGCGTTTGCTGATAAACGAAATATATGATAGATATCATATATTTTCCCGTTTTGTTTAATACTAATTTATAATTAATCATGTCCATGAATTTGAAAGTAGCTATTGTTATCGCGTTAACAATCATATGGACTTTTATCTTCAGTGAGCATAAAAGTAGAATTTCTCATTTATCAGAGGCCGTTAGGACAAAATTAACTAGACTTTTATTAGCTACTTCCGGTTGTGTTCAGCATTTCACAGTAAAAATCTATGGTCGAAATTGATAAAGTTACAAATTTTATTGATGGATTAAGAGGTCGCACAAACGTAAAGTTAGTTATAAGGTTCCAATAACAACAAGTGAAGCAATCAAATCAGATATTATATATCGCACGGCCTACTTTTTTGGAACATCAATAACAACGAAAAGATCATTTTCAAATCCATCAACATTTCGACAAAACAATACAACAATAAAGTGTGTGCAAGGAAGAAAAGCATTAAAAGAGAAACGTAAAGGTTTAGGTTTATGTTATTACTTGTAAACAACTAGGTCATCGTATTAGTGAATGTTCAAACAAAGAACAAAAAAACAGCTCACGGTAGTTGTGCAGACGATCACAGCTGTCGCTTCATCATTAGATAATTCCTCATTAACATTTCGTTCATCGTGTTTAAATAAGGTCAGCAACTAATTAATAATATCAAACTGAATTCAGCAAACATTAAAGGCTATAATGAAGCAGGAGTGGAAAATGATCTAGAGAGCAAGTAGTAATAGTTAATGATAAAATATCTAAACCTGCGCTGGTTACATCTGGAGTGCCTCAGGGCAGTGTGATTGGTCCTCTATTATTTTTGATATTCATCAACGACCTTGTTTTAGAG